CCAGTTAGCTACTTCATGACGGCCTGTCTATAGACCTCTTCCTAGAGTCTCTGCGCCGTACCTGCTGGGCCGCACCTCAGGGTCTAGCCGCGCGGTCGCCGGTGGGCGGGCGGTCTCCAGCCGCCCAGTCGCGGGGGCCGCTGGCAGTCGCCTGTGGACGGGCGGTCTCTAGTTGCCCAGTCGCACGGGCAGCGGGCGGGCGGTCGGTCGCCGGCAGGCGGGCGGTCTCCAGCCGCCCTGTCGCGCGGGCAGCGGGCAGGCGGTCGCCGGGGGGCGGGCGGTCTCTAGCCGCCCAGTCGCGCGGGCGGTCGTCAGCCAGCGGGCGGTCTCCAGCCGCCCAGTCGCGTGGGCAGCGGGTGGGCTGTCGCCGGCGGGCGGGCAATCTCTAGCCGCCCAGTCGCACGGGCGGTCGCGGGCGGGCGATCTCTAGCCGCCCAGTTGCGAGGGCCTGGCCTCTCGTCCCCTGGCTTCTCCTGCCAGCCCTGGCTTCTCCTGGTAGCCCGGCCTTTCCCTGTGTGATGCCTCTCGGCAGTTCAAACTGTCCTCTGGGCCTGCAGTTTGCTGGGTGTGGAGGGTGGCTATTGGGAACCCCGGCACCCTATTGTTTTGATTTTTTCCGCTTGCCCCTCCCCCAGCGCTGGCTAGACAGGTTTCATTTTCGCTGCTGATGGGAGGGGGAGTTGAAGGTCAGGTGTCTCTACCTTTCCCCGCGTCTCTGTGCAGGCTCGTTCTGATAATCCCTCCCCCGGGAAGCCTGGGAGAGATTTCATGCGAATTCCCCGCTGTATGGGAGATGGGCTGAGTAACACACACCTGTTTTATTGTTGCAATCTGTTGGAGAGTGGCAGTGATGACGTCAGCTCTCCAAGATGGTGGCCGCTGGCTTCCTTAGTGGACTTTCCGTTGTGGGAGATAGAACTGGACCGCTTCCTTCCCCGTCTCAAATCCCGAACTCAGCCCGAAGCTCAGTGAGGGCACAGCCGGCAGGATTCCACAGAATCCATAGCACTGTTTCTCTCTGCTTGCTGGTCGCTTCTCGGCGGCGCCCCGCTTCTGTAGCCGCGGGGCGGGCCGCGCGATGGGCTGCGGATCAGTCAGCCTGGAACTCTGGTCGCACAGTTGGCTCATGTTAGAGATTCAATAACCGGTCCTCGGTGCTGGAAATCCTTCCTCTAGGTTTCGGTGCATCCCTATTTTGCTGTAAATTCCTAACAAGATAGCCCTTTGTCGCTCTAACTCGTTATTCACCCGCCCAGTGACGCGGTACACGGGGTGCGATGCACTCTATTCGCGGCCATCTTGGAGTCCTCAGAAGGAGACTTTAATACCTCACTTTCAATAATGGATAGAACAACCAGACAGAAGTTCAAAGAAAAGAGAGAACTAGAATAACACTATAGACCAGCTGCACTGTAAAAGCTGTAAACAGAATACTCCATCCAATGACAGACAGATACACATTCCTGTCTAGTGTACATGCAACATTCTCTAGGATTGAATAAAATAGGCCATATTCTTTTTTTTTTTTTTTTTTTTAGCAGGTTGGGGTTTGGAGATTGGATCCAGGGACCTTTTACCACTGAATTACATCCCCAGAACTTTTTATTTTATTTTGACACAGGGTCTTGCTAAGTTGCTGAGGCTGGCCTCAAAAACTTGTGAAACCTCCTACCTCAGTCTACTGAGTCAGTGGGATTGCAGGCATGTGCCACCATGTCTGGCTAAAATAGGCCTCAAATCTTAAGTTTTAAAAGACTGAAATGATGCAAAGAATGTTTTCCGATCACAATGGAGTGAAACCAGAAATCAACTGCAAAAGGAAAACTGGAAAATCCACAAATATGTAGAAATTAAATAACATACTGTTAGTCAAAAAATAAATCACAAGGGAAATTAGGACATATCTCCAAAGAAAAGAAAATTTGCCAAATCAAAACAGATGCCGCAAATGCAGTGCTAAGAGAGAAGCTAGTAGTAGCACAACCTTACATTAAAAAAGATCTCAAGTCAACAATCTCACCTCTCTATACCTCAAGGAACTAGAGAAAGGACAAACTAAACTCAAAACTAGCAGAAAGAAAGGAAGATTAGGGCAGAGACAAATGAAATGGAGAGCAGAAAAACAATAGGGAAAAAAAAAATCAACCAAACTAAGAATTGAATTTTTGAAAAGATGAACAAAATTAGCAAACCTTTAACTAGATAAAAAGGGAAAGAGATTCAAATAACTAAAATTAGAAATGAAAGAGGAGCCGGGTATGGTGGCCACATCTGTAATCCCATCTACTCTGCAGGCTGAGGAAGGAGGATTTCAGGTTTAAGGCAATTTAATGAGACCCACAGTCTCAAAAATAAAAAGTGGGCTGGGGATATAACTCACTGGTAGTGCACCACTGGGCTCAATCCCTAGTACTGCAAAAGTAAACAAAAAAAAGTTAAAAAATGACATACTTAAATTTATAAAACTCTTAGAAGAAAATGGGGGAAATTTTTCATGACACTGGATTTGGCAATGATTCTTCTTGGACATGACACCAAAAGCACATGCAACAAAACAAGAAACAAACAAATGGAATTATATTACACTTAAAAACTTCTGACTTCTATGCAAAGGATACAATTAACAGAGTAAAAAACACGATGTATGGAATGGGAGAAAATACTTGCAAATAATATATCTAAGTTAACACCCAGAATATATAGGACTACAACTCAACAACAACAAAAACAAATAACCCAATATAAAAATGGGCAAAGGTTTGAATAGACACTTCTCCAAAGATAATACCTAAATGGCCAGAAAACCAAAAAAATATGAAAAGATGCTGAATGTGATTAATTATAAGAGAAACACAAATCAATACCAGAATGAGATATCACATCATACCCATTAAGATGGCTGCTACAAAAAAAAAAAAAAAAAGGAAAAGGAAAAGTAACCCATTGATATAGATGGAGAGAAACCAGAAGCCCTGTACACTCTTGGTGAAATGTAAAATAGTATTGCCACTATGAAAGCGGTATGGAGCTTCCTCAAAAATTAAAAATGGAATTACTATATGATCCAGCAATTCTACTCACTAGGGACTGAACGTTTGTATCACAACAGAATTCATATGTTGAAACCCTAAGGAGTCTTTGGGAGGTAATTATGTCATGAAGGCAGAGTCCTCATGAATGGGATTTGTGTCACTGAGAGAGGGGGGGAGGGTATTATACCTACTAGATGAGGATTCAGCTAGAAGGCATATATACAAGAGAACTGAAAGCAAAATCTCAAAGAAATATTCATAGCTGCATTATTCACATTAGCCAGGATATGGAAGCAACTTAAATTTCCACTGACAGATGGATGGGTGAACAAAATGTGATATATACATACAATGAAATAATATTCAGCCTTAATTAAAAAAGGAAGGAAATGCTGTCATACACCTGTAATCCCAGCTACTTGGAAGGCTGAGGCAGGAGGATCACAAGCTCAAGTTTAGCCTGGGCAACTTAACAAGACCCTGTCTCAAAATCAACAAAAAGAAATGGGGACGTAGCTCAGTAGTAAAGTGCTGCTGCGCAGCCTGTTTCAGTCCCCAGTACCTAATTTTTTTTTAGAAAGCAGGGGATCAGGATGGTGGATCCTGTTACATACAATAACATGGATGAACCTTGAGGACATTATAGTGAGTGAAATAATCTAGTCACAAAAAGACGAATTCCATATGGTTCCACTATATGAGATAACTAAAGTAGTCGAATTCATAGACTCAGAAAGCAGAATGGTGGGTGCTAGGAGAGGAAGAAGTACAGGGAGTTTAATGGGTGGAGAGTTGCGCTTTATGGAATGAAAAAATTCTAAAGATCTGTTGCAGAACAACATGAATCTACTTAACACTACTGAATTGTACACTTCAAAGTACTCTGATGCTTTACTTAATATGGTAAATTCTACATTACGTGTTTTGTTTTTAACCACATTTTTCTTAAAAAAAAAAAAAAAAAGCAAGTAAGTAGCCCAACTTTAAGTCTGATGGAGATGGGTTAGTGTGGAGGAGAACAAGTATAATGATCTCCCACCGTGAGATATTATGCATACTGAAGAAGGAGTAGTTTTTGGGTGGGGAGGAGTTTGGTTTTTTCTCACTGAAAGTAGACTACATAGCTTGCTATGAATAACACAGACAAATCCTTAGACGTTTTTGGAGAGAAAAAAAAAGCTGATTTCATCTATCAAACTGATCTTTTAGCATGTCCTAATGGATTATGGACAAAGTGAATGTCCCTACATGATCTTGCTGTGCCCTAACCAGGGATGAGTCTCAGATGACTCACCCTTGCAAAGTCTATTTGCTTCTGGAAACGTAGATATCCTAATAGACTTGACAGTCCATCCACTCTGGAATGGCTACCCTTCATCCCATGATTACTTTTAAAGTGAGAGATGATCTGTTTTGTCCAACAGTAGTAAACCTTATTTTTATTTCCATATCTTCATTTTACTAGTACAGGATAACAATAGTAATCTCAACTTGTCTTTTAATCATTTATTCAAAGGTCAAATTTATCATACAAAGAATGGCAGACTAATTGCCATGATAATGTTGTAACAGTGAGCACCTACTGCAAATTGTGCACTGGACTGGGCAACTGGCCCACTTGATGGTCTATTCTAAACTGTACTTTAAATAGATATTGTTCTTAATTTAGAATGTAAACCCAAGAAATTAACTTACTTGCCCAAGGTCCACACAGCTAGCCCGGGAGTGCTAGGATTCAAATAGGACTGTCATAAACCTAAGCCTGCACTCATTCTAATGTATTCTATCCACTCTAGACACAGAGTTACAAGTACTGTCTAATCAAATCATTTTATTTCAAATGAAAAGAGAAAATATTCTTTTTTCCTCTAGTTTACTTATTTAATAAAGAGTAGTTGGTTCAAAGCAATATTCTCTGCTTTTCCTATTCATTCCTTCTCTTAATATGAGGACAGAAAAATACTGGTACCTAATCAGAAAATTTATTTTTAGACATACTAAGAAATTAGTACAGATACTTTCTATGATAATGTGTTCCATTCATGTTGACCACTATTCTTTTCATAGACAAAATCTAACAGTCTCCATTGCCTAGTCCATTTAACTTAATGAACTGGTGAGCACTGGAATTCGGGATCTTAAGACTAGCACTAAATTTTTTAATAGAGAAGAAAAAATTATTTACTTAAAAATGCATATATTTTCATCTCACATTTCTCATAGCAGAAAATATAACATGTATATGAATTTTTTTATAATACCTAACAAGAGGAAATGCTTATTTCTTTCTAAAATGTTCAGGCTACTCACTAAAATTGGTATTTAAAAAAACATTCGATATTTGTTAATACTGAAAAATGTTCACAGTTGTTACCACTTCTTAAGAATGAGGGAGACCTGACTTCCTGTTTTTCTCTTGTTAATCTGTGTCGTGTTAGAAAGAGGGAACAGGCAGGGGCTCCAGGAAGGTGTGGTGACTCTGAATTCGGTTTAGAAGCTGCTGTGCCACGGGTTTGAATTCTGTTTCCCAATGGAGTTTGTGATAGTTTTTTAGGTCTTGGTCAAAACTGCCATCCAGTGCTAGTTCTTCATCTGTATCAGAAAAATGAGAATTAAAGCAATTATTTGAAAATGTAATCCTCTTGAAAAGAGTTGAATTTTTGATGATATGAATTAAACTCATCTTGGGTCACCGTTAATAACAACATGACACTAGATAAGATTTTTTGTTTGTATTTTTTTTCAATTTTTTTTAGTTATACTTGGGCACAATATACCTTTATTTTATTTGTTTATTTTTATGTGGTGCTGAAGGTTGAATCCAGTGCCTTGCACATGCTAGGCGAGCACTCTACCGCTGAGCCACAACCCCAGCCCTTTTTGTCTCTTTTTTAAGACAGGGTCTTGTTCTGTTGCCCAAGCTGGTATGACACTCCTGGGCTCAAGTGCTCTCCCATCTTAGACTGTAGAGCAGCTAGAACCACAGGTGTGTACCACTGCACTCAGTGGAAAAGGCTTTTTTTAAAACGGGAAAAGTTCTTTACTCTCCTTTGTTCTTTACAAATATTTAAAAACAAGTATATTTTAGTCTTTTAATTTAAATGGGCAACAATTTTCTAAAAAAAAAAAATAGATTAAACTGAGCTCTTTTCTCAACTACTCTTAGTTTTTTATACATAAATTTACATCCAAAAGTCAGATCACAATTTATCAGAATAAACAAAGTAAGATTTCTTCCTTACATGCACATTAGAAAGTTAATTATTTCAATAATTGATAGATATAAAATGAGTTAGGAAATGTTAGGAAAGTAGGCCAGTTGAAATTGATTCTTTAAATTTTTATGAAGGGCCGTGGAGCACACCCATAATCAAAATGACTCAGGAGGCTGATGCAGGAGGATCACAAGTTCAACAAGGCCAGCCTTGGCAACTTAGCAAGACTCTGTCTCAAAAATTAAAAAAAAAAAAAAAAAAGGACTGGGGTATATATACTCAGTAGTAAAAGTGCCCCGGGGTTCAGTTGCTGGTATAAAATAATAAAAACAACAACAACTTTCCTGAAGGGCTTGAAATGGAAGTCAGTAATAGAGCATTTGCCTAGTATCTGTGAGACCCCAGGTCACAGCAAAAATAAACTTTACGGAAAATTAGAACTTTGCTGACTTCAAAGCAGCTGGGATATATTTCTTTGAAAAAACAATCTATCCTCACACTCCCCAATAACTGAAAACTGGGGTACTTTAAGAAAGAGTATCATAGTCCCAAACAAAACCATGGATAATGTGGAAAAGCACTAGTAAAAATAAAATGCAAAATTACAACTTTATTCTTAATGCAAAGGCACCCTGAATTCGGTGAACACCATAAGTATATCCAACCCAAAGAGGAAAGTGAATGATCATTCAAGATTCTATGCTGGCTTGCCAGTCAGAAAATGGGCAGACTTCTTAAACAGCAACCACAAAGTTCCAAAAGGACCATAAATGTTGCTACTTGCACAGTTTGCAAACATTTTTTTTTCCCGTAGGGCCAATTAAAACTGTATTTAAAAAATCCTTCATTACTATTTACATCAGATTTTCTACACTGGATATTTGTGTACGCTCAATGTGTACTTTGACACTAAGGGCATTATTGCCACCACCCAGCATAAGATAAGGGACTGCAGAATCCCAGGATGTACCTTCCCCTCCTCCCCCGCTACCAAGTGGACAGCTATGCAGCTCTGAGATAAGCTCCGGGCAGGCATAAACACTTCAGCAAGGCACTCCATGGAGACCCTGTAAGCAAACCTGACTCTCCCCACCCATGAGATAACTAGGGCCTTGATGGGAAGAAAAAACAGTGATGTCTTCAAAGCCCTTCCTGTTCTGCTCTTTCCCAGTGAGAAGAGCCTGCTAGATGCAACGTGACTTTGGGTATCTAGATCAGCTTCTGTGCATTCTTTTCTAGATTTTCTGAGCAATAAATATTTGTTAAGAAAATAATACTCTTGTTTTGTGCCCTTCTTTCCCAAGCTGCTTAGGGGTGAGCACTGTGGCCCAAGAATTTGGTAGTCCCTTCCTCTGCCCAAGGCTTTGCTTGGATTTGATAGTTTTGGTGAAATCTGTTAGTTTTTGGATTGTTGTTGTTTGTTTCGTTTTTTATTTGTTTGTTTTACAGTGCTAGGGATGAACCCAGGGGTTCTCTACCACTGAGTGACACCCCTCAGCCCTTTTTATTCCTTAATTTAAGACAGGCTTTCACTAAATTGCCCAGGCTGGAATCCTTCTGTCTTCGATTCCTGAAGCTGGATCACAGGGGTGTGTGTGTGTGTGTGTGTGTGTGTGTGTGTATCTAGCAGTTTCTTTTCTTTCTTTCTTTTTTTTAAAATTTTTTTAGCTGTTGATGGACTTTTAATTAATTTATTTATATGCTGTGCTGAGAATCGAACACAGTGCTTCACACGTGCTAGGCAAGCGCTCTACCGCTGAACCACAACCCAACCCCCTTTTTTTCCTTTTAATCTAATGTTAAGACCGTTACTTTCCTTGAGGTCCAGCCTATACAGAAATCAGTTACTCCATACTCAGATCATCTTTATTACAATTTGGGTTAGACAAGATAATACATTTAGCCAATAGCTACAAGTAAGAGAAACACAGCCTGAAGTTTCAAATACTAGCAAATATATAAAAAAGTATCATATTATCCTGGGTATTAAAATTTTGAACTTGTACTATAAAGAGCAGCAAAGTGATGATTAAAATGTAGATCTATGATTTTCAAACCTACTGTGATTCACAGTTAAGAAATAACATTTTACATCATGACTATATATATACATTTGGACATTCACATATAAATAAACAAATGATAAGACTACTTACCCTTACTACATAGAATATGTTCTAATATTTTCTTTCTTTGCTACTTCATTGTTTAGGTTGGTTACAACCAACTAAGTTAATTTCATAACTCACAATGTGAAGAAGCACTGATTCAGATAGACAATCACATTCTTAAGCTTTCTTTGTGTACTGCACATTTCAAAATATTAAAATTTGGGAAAAGGTATTAGAAAGTATCAAAAGACTCAAAGAAGCTAGGCTCAGTGGTGCACATATGTAATCCCAGCAACTTGGGAAGCTGAGGCAAGAGGATTGCAAGTTCGAGGCCAGCAACTTAGTGAGACCCTAAACAACTTAGGGAGAGCCTGTCTCAAAAAAAAAAAAAAAAAAAAAATCTTTTTTAATTGAAAAGAGCTGGGGATGTAGTTCAGTGATAAAGCACCCCTGGATTCAATCCCCAGTACTCAAAACAATAAAGCTGCTAGTAATCATTATAACACAAGTATCATTACAGTTCAAATGTCCTACAGCATAAATGAAATTCCCCTATTCCTCGTCTGCTTTTTAGCACAGCTAGTTGTTTGCGGGATCTGTCACTGCCCTGCTCAATCTCTCTTAAGGCACAGTCCTCACCGTTCTAGAAACACCTACTGGATCTTTGGCATAGGCCCAGCAATATGATCCTCCAATTGGAAGGCTGGGTCCCATTCCACGATTGTCACAAAACCTGAGTGCCAGGTTCCATGCACCTTATAAGGGAGCACACAATGACCCAGTGTTCTGTACATTTGCAACAATAAACCCATCTCCACCTGCCAACTTCCTGAGGAGTTTGTTATGTTCTAGAGAGCCAGGGCCCATCATTGAGAAGGCCCAGATAAACACACCAACAATGAGTTTAGAAGAAGTGACTGTGGTTTACCAGGAATTTTTAGATGATATATTTTTAAGCTTCTTTTCAGAACTGCTATCAACATTTCAACCGCTGTGGAAGACTATTACTCTTTTTCCTAGTCCCACAGCAAGAAAGTTAGATAACTTTGATGACTGTGTCAGTTGCCTGGCCATTCTTTTCAAAAACAGCACTTTTACCTCAACATGGCTTTTGTGATTAACAGTTCATCCTGTTTTCAAAATAGCTTTTTTTAAAAAAATATTTGGTTTTTAGTTGTAGGTGGACACGATAACCTTTATTTTATGTGGTGCTGAGGATTAAACCCAGTGCTTCAGGCGTGCTAGGCAAGTGCTCTACACTGAGTCACAAACCCAGCCCCAAAATAGCCTGTTTTTGAAGCTATCTTTGCAAAAGAATTGAATTCAAGTATGCTCTCACCCCATCACATTTCACTTGCTGATGCCCAACTAGCCAGACACAGCCATGACCCTGTCAGAAGTAATGGCTTACAAAAAAAAAAAAAAAAAAGCCAAGAAGCGGCATAGACTACATAGCCCCCAGGGCTCAGGCTTCATAATTCATAAGAAGAGCTCTTGGTCACCCTGAGAACTGTCATGCTTTGTCCGGTGACTTGGCTCCCTGATCAAACTGTGTTTATTTTTGTTATCCATGCGCAGTCTCCTTCCATGGGATGGGGTGGAGTCAGGGTGTACTATGTAATAGGACGGCAGAAAAACACAGGCTACATGTTTAATGTCTCAGGAAAAGTCCTAGCTTCACTCCAGTATAATCTTAGGTAAGTCACCCAAGCCTTCTAGACCGATTTCCCTCATCTATCACTTAGTAAACCTCAGAAACATCTTGTGAGGACAAATGAGCATGCTTTTAAAAGTATACAGCCCTCTGAGTGCTGGGGGCATAGCCCAGAGGTGGAGCTCTTGCCTAGTGTGCACAAGGTCCTGGGTTCCATCCCCAGTACATCAAATAGAACCCCAACCCTTCCCACCAAACCCGAAAGCCAAGATCACTATTACAACAAAGATATACCACTACTGCTAGCCAGTCCACAAGCATGTACCAAGCACCAACTTCATAGGAGGGACTATCCTTTCCCAAAGTGGTTCAGTTGGAATGAGGAAATAAACACAAAAACGAGAATACAGGAGAAACCACAGGGCTCATTAACTGCTCTGAAAGGAGTGCAGATTCCCATGGGGAGACTATGGCCCTGGGCCTCATAAGCTATTAGGGCCTGCAAGGGCAGCAGCGTCTGCACAGCCATGCAGGGTATACGGCATGCACAAAGGCCAGAGGCTGGAGAAACACGTTCAAGCCCAATGTGGCCACAAGGCAAGGTTGAGAAGGGATGGGAGGCAGCAGGCCAGCTATAGGGAAGCCTCCAGGTAACTGCCTCCTCTGGAGAAGCTGGCCACAGCCACGCCCTCTTCTGATGGGTCTTCATGCCCTGTGGTCTCATCCTCTGGTTTTCATAGCTGATCACCCAGACTGAAGTAACAAAGGAAGTCACAATAGCCTGTCACAGAGGCAGCAGCCTTTACACCACAGGAGAATGACTCACTGAGCCAGTCACATCTCCTGGAGTGGGAGACAGAAAAGCGTGCAAATCACAGGGGAGACACGGGAGATGCATACAAGTACGGCCTGGGGGGAAGCCTGAGGTGCGAGCCGTGACCAAGCAGGAGTCTGGAGGGATCGAGAGGCAGGGAAGCCAGCCTTTTCCATTACGGCAGGGAGAGAGCAGAGCTGGATCTCTAGAAAGGGGGCACTGCCACTGCAGGGCCTCTGGGGACTATGGCTCCTGAGAGCTTCTCCTGGAGGCTTAGGCAGTATTTATTTCCTGCTTCCTTCTCCCTGTGCATCCTTTCCTTAACCGCCTCACTAACCTGGCTGCATATCAGACTCACCTGTGGAATTTTATTTTATTTTATTTTTGTACTGGGGATTGAACCTAGGGGCAATGAACCACTGAGACACGGCCCCAGTCCTTTTTATTTATTTTTATTTTGAGACAGGGTCTTACTGAATTGTTTGGGGCCTAGCTAAATTGCTGAGGCTGGCTTCCAACTTGTGATCCTTGCTTCAGCCTCCCGAGTGCCTGGGATTACCGGGGAGCACCACCACATTGGCTCACCTGTGGAACTTTATAAACCACAGATTCTCAGCCTCCCACCAGAGTTCCTGAAGCAGAATTGCCACGGATGGGCCCAGCAGGTGTTTTCTTTAACTCCACGGCTGATTTCAATATTCTGTCCTTATTGAGAACTGAATTAAGGCAACCTGAGCATGCACTTCTACTTCCTGCACCCTGAGAGTTTAACATTCACAAAGCAGACTGTGAATCTCAATAATTTAAAATCTTATATTTGTCTTATTCAGTATTATAAAAACATGCAAAATTATATTTACCTGGAAAAGCAAACTTCACAACAGCCTAGCAAAACTGTTTATTTGAACAACACCTGGGTCTTGGTTCCTGTTCAGTAATATATCGTCACAACACTTAGCATTTATAAAGCACTTTAGCCATCTTTTGAAGACTTGCTAGGTGTCAGACATGGTATTAGGCTCTTGGTACACATCTGCTCATTTACGACCCTAACGACCCTCCATGGGTCACCCCCATGTTAGTGGTGATAAAATATAAATTCAGAAAGGCAAAACCAAGGTTTAAAAATTTGTGAGGACAAGGACCTAAACTCAGAACTGTTTGACTACAGGCCTTCACTGTACTCCCAGGATACTTGTTTGAGTCTCACAACTAACTCCCTGGGGCAGGCAGGTATTATCATCTCCCCCATTTTAGGGATATAAAGACAGGCCAGGGGAGGGGAGGTCCTCTTGTCCAGTCATCCCAAAACCAGACAGGAAGATTTGAACCCGCTGCTCTGACTCACACAGCACCTTTCCACACAGCCTCGAAGATCCAACACAGAGGCTGGGCAAAGATGGGCATGGTTCCTGCAGGTGGGGAAAAGGATCACTGGAAACACTCAACTCTTTTACTGACCCAAATCATTGTTTCCAGATCAAACCCAAGTTGAAAAAAAAAATTATCCTAAAAATAAAAAAGGTTTAAATGTAAGAAATGAACCTCTTTGATTTGAGAAATTTCAGTATCTACCTTTCATGGCCCTGGACCCCACTGTACCCCAAAATAGTTTCACAGACCCTTCTCCACGTGACATTTTTAGCATAGTTTCTAATTAAAATGTATAGATTCATTTAAAAGCATGACAATTCAGAGTAGCTTTTTAATCATATTTTCTCAATTACAACATTATTTGCATACTTTTAAACAACAGATACATTAGGCTGAGATCATAAATATATATAATATATATTTGGGGAGAAGGATGCTGGGGAATGGACCCCAGAAGTGCTTTACCATTGAGCCACATCCCTAGCCCTTTTTATTTTTTGAGATAGGGCCTCACTATGTTGCTGAGGCTGGCCTTGAACTTTCAATCCTCCTGCCTCGAAAGCTGCTGGGATAATAGGCATGCACCACCATGTCCGGATTATGCTGAGATCTAATACTTATGCAGCCTGTAGAAAAAAATTTTTTTTAAGTCCATAGAATAAATCATGACAGGATCCAAGGAGTTAAAATCCTTCTGTAACACTTGTAAATCTTTAACATTCTCCGGTTGTTTATAGAAAAACAGCCACCCAAATGCAGACCAATCTTTGCCTGTACAGGTCACAGAAAACATTTTTCTTATCTCACGCTGATAAAACTCACATACTCACTTACTTAAAAATGATGACAACAGGACTAGGAGTGTGTTGGTGTCTTCATCTCCAAAGCATGCTGAAGCCTTTGTGATATTCTCACTGAAGTTCCATAAAGTTTTACAAACCAAGCAGGCCAGCTGCCAATCAGTAGGACCAAAATCTCTTAAACAATCCACCAACCTGAATTAATGAAAAGTCAAATTGAGAAGTTAATAAGTCAGAAGTTATTACATATTTAAGTAGCCACAAAGTAACAATATCCTCTTTTTTTTTTTCCCTTTTTTAGCAGGGGTGATGGAATCCAGGGCCTCACACATGCTAGGAAAAAACTGAGCTACATCCCCCGTGCTTTTTATTTTTAATTTTGACACAGGGTCTCACCAAATTGCCTAGGCTAACCTTGAATTTGAAACCCTTATGCCTCAACTCCCCAGGGTACTGGGATTACAGGTGTGCACCACTGTGTCTGATGATAACCTACTTTGGAATGATTTCAAGTGTCCAGTGGAACCAAAATCCTCTCGTTAGCTCCAGCTTGGGGCTTCCAAATGTGAAATACCTTTGCCCCAAATGAATGACAGGAGGTACCTACGCCTCTAGGAAAACTATGTCTTCAGAATCTGAGTCAGGATTCCATGCCTTGAAACTTACTTTTTAATGCCGCCTCCCTCTTTGAGGATGACCCGCTTGTCTTTATCCACAGTGAGATTGAGGAGAACACCACAGGCAGAAAAACAAATGTCCTGATGCTTAGCGTCCAGCAGCGCAATCATGAATTTATGTACTGGGAAGGCAGAGAACAAACGCAGATGGGAGAGAGCTCAGGGGTCCCAGCTGTATCTTGTTTTAGCACAGCACAGGGGCAGGCATGGAGCACAGTGGGATGGCTTAAGAAACCAGAATCCCTGTGAGTGGGCTTATGGGCTTAACCCATTCTTCCTGTTAGTCTTTTTTTCTTCTTTTTTTTAATGATGCTGGGGATCAAAGTCAGGCCTTGTGCATGCATGCTGGGCAAGTGCCCTACCACTGTGCCAAATCCCCTCATTCTTCCTGAGTCTGTATTCATCTTCCAGCCGTGGGTTCCCCAACACTCACCACCCTGAAGCCTGCTCCCCAGCTTCCCTGGACCCAAACCACTAGAACTGACCCAGGTAGCAGCTCCCTGTCCCAGTTGTGATAGGTTCCCTTCTGGTGAAAAAGAGGGAGCCTGTGACATCATTTCTACTTTGGGCTATTCTGAAGATACTTTTTTTTTTTGATACCGGGGATTGAACCCAGGGGCGCTTATGTACTAAGCCACATCCCCAGCCCTTTTTGTATTTTATTTAGAGACAGGGTCTCTCTGAGCTGCTTAAGGCCTCCATAAGTTGCTGAGGCTGGCTTTGAACTCACAGTCTTCCTACCTTAGCCTCCCGAGCCACTGGGATTACAGGCATGCGCCCAGCCTGAGGAGACTTTTGAACCTCCAGGAGCAATTCTTTAAATAAAGAGTCAGTTTCTGACCAGAAGTTCCCTGATGCGTCCCCAGGGCCAAGTATAAGATGCTTCAACTACTGGAAACCCACCTATGACAAGGCAGGGCTTTCACTGTAGGGACATCTTAGAGCAGGACAGGCTCTGGCCCCGGTGGATTTGTGTTCCCGTCTTCCTAGGAAATGAAACTGGGAACTGCTTGTCCTGCGTTCTGGTCCCCTGTGGGGACTAGCAAAGATTTCAGGGGGAGTGGATACGTGGTGTGCTCCACCTGCTCATACTTTACAGTACACATGTGAGGTTCTGCTCTGTTCTGGCCTCAGCCCTACTGACTGGGTGGGGCAATGAGCTTGTCAAAGGCTACATCACATACACAAGGGTCCCAAAGAACGCACCAAAATGTTAGCAGTTATCTGTGGGGCAGTAACATATGGCAATGGATGACAGTTTGAGGCGGCTGCTGCTGATGCTTTTTATAAAATTTGCATTATCTAAATTTTCTATCATGAATATGGATAATTAGATTTTTAAAATTATTCTTGCATGGAGTATGTGAGATATACAAAGAGGGTGGTTAGTATAAACACTTGGGTACATGCCACCCACCTAGTTTAAGAAATAGAACATTACATTCGAAACATGTTGTACACCATAAATATATACAACTCTTATTTGTCAACTAAAATAAATAAATAAAACATTACAGATACAGCTTTATGTCTTTGGACATCTCATCCCCTCTCCAAAGGTCTTAAATATGGAGTTTGTCATTTCCAAACACCATTTATGCTTTATGCCATTACTACATGAATACATATACATAAGCAATACCCAAGAGAGTTTTGCATGTTTTAAAACTTATATTGGTGGCATTATTCTCTGTATATCCTATTATCACTAGCTTTTTGCTCCTGTTTAAGTGTTTAAGTGATCTATATTGTATTTATCCTCTTGGCTGCTGGTGGACATTTGGGTTGTTTCCATTTTTTTTTTTTCAATTATAAGCAAAATGTAATAGACATTCTAGTGCATTAAGGAAAATGTTTCTTGAACCTGTCCCTATGGGAAGAAATGGTGAGTGTAGATGACTTATTTCCATTAAACACACTGCCCTTCCCATGCCGGCACTTGAAGACCACTCACGAGGGAGAGGGGAACACTGCCTAGGTCCATCCCAGCTTCCTGAGCTGAGCACCTCACATGCCGGACAGAATATAGAGCTTTACATGTCTCAAAGCAGAAACATGTATCCCATTGAAACCATTTAGTTGCTAATTGGCAGAAGTGTGTGCTTATGAATTGACGTGTCATTAACTTACCATTGTTCTGCACAATGAAATCACAGATGTCGTGGTCTTGGGAGAGATTTCCAAAAACACGCACAGCTTCGAGGATTCCATCCATGTTGTTACTCACAAGAAGCTTTAAGAGCACTGGATTTGGTGACCAGAAAAATAAAATCAATTCATTTAAGTTTTAATGTAAAGGCTAATGGAGATCAATCTCATACTAAATACTGAGAACTTAAAAATAATAATAAAAGGGGCTGGGGATGTGGCTCAAGTGGTAACGCGCTCGCCTGGCATGCGCAGGGCACTGGGTTTGATCCTCAGCACCACATAAAATAAAAATAAAGATATTGTGTCCACCGAAAACTGAAAAATAAATATTAAAAAAATTCTCTCTCTCTCTTTAGAAAAAAAAGATAATAAAATACAAACTTTAAGGGACTTCAGCAAGAACTAATTTCCCCCCACATTTTAATTTCTTAAGAGTCAAATCAGGCTGTAAGATATTTAGATATCAGAAAATAGTAATGCCTCCAGTTCTGTGTTTAGTTAATAAAATCAAAACCATCCAAAAACAACTCTGAACCTTACATTGAGCAATAGATAGCTTTTTGTCTTGGATTATGGAATTCTTCACTTGGTAGAAAGACAAATTGTTGATTGTTGCTGTAGTATTGATCACCAGCTCCTCACACTCGTCAAGGGACTTGTATTCTGAAACAATGTGGGGAGAGAGGAGTCAGAGACACTGTGCTCTGTGCGCTGTGTGTGGGTAGAGGCAATGCCACAGAACTGCAGCAGCAGCAGAGCTGGGGACAGACTGCAGCCCGGGCAAGGTCTGTGCACAGGAAACACTGTTTGACACTTTATTTCCCGTGACTCTTCCTGCAGGGAAAGGCACCAAATGCAAGGGGCCACTCCTGATCGTGGCGGGCAGGGCACTCAGCTCCATCCTGCATCCAGGGTATCTGGGAGGGTCAGCCAGTCTAAACCCTGTGTCTGAAGTAAAGCACAGGAAAAGAAACCTCAGCTGAACTGTCTCTGATGCCAGCAGTGTGCCCCTGGCCTCAGGTCCCTCAGGGACTCCACCAGGGAATCTACACTGTTCCCCATGCCCCCACTTCCCTACAAAATAGTCCTTAGGTCATGATCCACCCATAACCATTATGCTGCTTCTAAACACACAAAATCAATCACATCCCCTCTCCACTATCACCCCAGGCCATCCATCATTCACCTCTACTAGCTTCTCTTCTTCCACTTTTGCATCTAAATCTTTTTTTTTTTTTTTTTTTTGGTACTACGAATTCAACCCAGAAGCTCTTGACCACTGAGCTACATACCCACCACCCACACCCCCTTTTAAATTTTGAGACAGGGTGTCATTAAGTTGCTTAGGGCCTTGCTAAGTTGCTGAAGATGGCTTATGAACTTGCAATGCTCCTGCCTCAGATTCCCAAGCTGCTGAGATTATAGGCATGTGCCACTGCGCCTGGCTCGGAAACTATTTTTCACTCAGTGATCCTTTAAAAGTAAGTTAGGGGCTGGGTGCAGCCAAACCCTGCTGGGTGCAATGATCCTTTAAAAATAACTCAGTGATACCCTGTCTCTAAATAAAATACAAAAAAAATCTGGGAATGTGGCTCAGTGGTTGAGTGCCCCTGAGTTCAATCCCCTAGTACTAAACCAAAAAAATAAAGAAAGTCAGCCAGGGACTGGAGATGTAGCTGAGTGGTAGAGCACTTGTCTGGCATAAGCAGGGACCTGGGTTCAATCCCCAGAACCACAAAAACAAATGAATAAATAAATTATCTGATGTTACCCATCTCACAACCCACTAATGATGTCATTTCACTTGGCCAGGCCCCCCTGGGCTGCCCTTTCCTCACCTCCCAGGGCTCTTACCCAGTGTGGTCAGCAGCAGGCCCACGACTTGTGGATTGGTGGCCAGAGCAGGGCCAATGCATGGGTGAATGGCTATGTTGGCCAGCACCCGGGTCAGCTTGATGAGTACGTCCTCCACCTCTGATGGTGGCCTCTGAGCGACAGGCCTATTGGCTCCTGGAGGTGCCTGCCTCTGCGAATGCAGATCGAGTTGGTAGAAGGTCTGGAATAATGAGAGCAGTGTCTCCATGCTCCCTTTCTCTTTGTAAAAGTGTTCCCGAGCCTGGTTATTCTTTGCTGTCAGGTTGCCAAGAATAAAAACAATACGAATAACTAGATCCTGAAATAGATGAAGGACAAAGAGTTATAAGAACAAAGTGATTAGAAAGAAAAGTCATATTTAATTTACTCTTAATTTAATTAATAGTAAAATGTAACATGTCTGGCTGTTACTAACTCATGTGGTATTTGATTCCCAAAGTGAGTGCAAATTGACAGGAGAGTAAAAGGATTTGGTGGCAACAAAAGAATACAAACTGATTGATGTGATCAGTGAGGCCTATTAATTTCACATCCTTCATCCTTCAGAATTTCAATTCTGGGTGGCCTTTTTCTCCCTAGAGAATAATTAGTTGAGTGGGACAATGTGTCATGTAATTCTAAGTTTTGACACTAACAGACTTCTTGAGCATCCAAATCTTTTTCTAAGAATTAACCTCCTGCTGAAGCACTCCATTTCTAAAAGTCAGGCATTTCCCAAAAGTGGATTGTGTCAAAACAGGATTCTTAATTTCGGCATTATTGATATTTGGGACTGGGTAATTACTTGTTATTGGGGTCAGGGGGTCCTGTGCATTGTAGGGTGTTTAAAAGCATCTATCTTCTTGCTAGATGCCAGTAGCACCTCTCCAGAATTGACCACCAAAATGTCTAATTGTCTCCCAGAGCAACATCATCCCCAGTTGAGAGCCATTGTGTTACACAGGAATGCCACTGAAACAGTACTAAAACAGACCGAAATGAAGGGCCCCTCAGACACTGAGCACTTTTTTATGCTCAGAGTAAAAGTCTTACCCACCAGTAGATCATCTGGGAGGATGAGACTCTTATTTCATTTTTTGTGGTGCTGGGGCTCAAACCCAGGACCTCCCACAGGCTAGGCAAGTTCTCCACACTAAAGTAATGCTTACTGAGGGCTACCACTGGCCTGGGTGACAACTTTTCTTATTATGCCCTGCATCGTGCCCTTGTATAGGCAAGAAACTGGGTCCTGAAGAAACTGCAGGTCACATGACCCGTGAGGGGTGGAGAAGGATTTGAACCCAGGATTACCCAGACTTGGAGTCCTTTCTCTATCTGCACCCTGCCTCCCACTTAGGGAGTCATTTAGTTATCTCTTCTTTGGCCTTGCCAGCCTGCTGACAGTTATGGGATTATCTCTTTTTAAAATGCAAATATGTGGCCAGAAGGGATTACCATAAACCTGACTTTGTGGATCAGACTGGTACTTATCAGCTGATTGAAGCAGACAAATATGACCGGGCCAGGTACACTTTCATCAAGGCTCACAGAACCATGTGGGACTCCAGGGGCCCAGCGCAGGGTATTGGGTGGGGCAAAGAGACTGGGAGGACTAAGGGCAGAGGACAACTTTTAGATTTGCCTATGACTACTATGCCAATACTAACTTGTTCCTTCTTGTTCTTGAGAGACAAAAAAAAAAAAAAAAAAAAGTTTCCCCTGACACTCACTGGCAGAGAATCAGCAAGGCTCTGCTGTGCAGCTGGGAGCCATTTGCCAACATTAAGACAGGACAGAGCCTAACACTATGGCAAGAACTGGAGCTGATCCAGGACAGCATTCAGTTTTGGAAATGGTTCAACTCACAGCATTCAACCAATCACAGCCACCATCCAATTAGGAGGATCTGCTGTTTGCTCCACCCTGGGAAAGAGAGTGTCAGTTCTTAGATAATGTCGCTATGGGGCGGGGCCTAGAGGAACACACAACATCGTAAACAAGGATGAGATACAGTGCTCTGAAGAATTTATAATCTATTTGAGAAGGTAAGGCTAACCTGTGTGGGGAAACAGCTAAGACCAAAATGGCCAAGCAAGGAGCCGGACAGCGAAGGGGATTATGAATTCCAGCCCTACAGCCAGGGGGTCTAGGTTCACACAGGAACTTGACTCAACCTCAGAGTCCCTGGGAACTCATTTGCAAAATGGGGAAAATATTGCATTGTAATAGTAAACAAGATAAAATAGGCAAAGCACAAGTTAAATTCAGTAACAATTCAGGTATTACATGGAAACCTTCTCACTGTCTTATCAGTAAAATGTTAGTTAATGGCTATAAACTGTGGGACAGACCCAACATTCTTAGAAGAGTTTACAAAAGAGGACATTATGGAGGGATCAGCAGAGTTATCAAGAAAGAACTTGAGCTCAACCTTGAAAAGGCAAAAGAGCGTGATAGTATGCGTAGGAGGGGCAGGGTGGGCAAAAGGAGTCTTAAGAAGGTATAGATGGGGGCGGGGCACTATGTGCACACCTGTAATCCAGCAGCTCTGGAGGCTGGAGCAGGAGGATCACAAAGCCAGCCTCAGCAATTTAGCAAAGCCCAGCCTCTAAACACAATACAAAAAAAAAGAGCTGGGGTCATGGCTCAGGGGTTAAGTGACCCTGAGTTCAATCCACTGTAACAAAAATAAATAAATACATAGGTCCCACCACAGTATTGGGGATTGAACTCAGGGGAGATCTACTTCAGAGGTAGTAGTAGATCCTCAGCCCTTTTTATTTTTTTGAGACAGCTTCTTGCTAAGTTGTTCAGGCTGGCCTTGAACTTGTGATCCTCTTGTCTTGGCCTCCCCAGTTACTGAAATTATAGGCCTGCATCCCCATGTCGTTCTTTGATCACCTAGCCATTCCCCAAAGAAGCTGGAGCCTGTAGGACTTGAACCTAGAACAAGCACACACAATCTGATTGTTATCCTGGAATCCCACTTCCCATAAATCCAACGATCCTTTCAAGTAATTCCTGAATGCCTCCTGGGCTCTGGAAGGAGAGTACCAAGGTAGGACCAGACCCAACAGAAAAAGCAGATTTCCCACAAGAAATAGAGAGCATTCTCAAGAATTAAGCTCTTTGGTGGAAAATTTCTGTTTTATATTTTCTAAGCTGAGCACCGTGAGCAAAATTTTTGTGAATGCTTCACTGTTTTCTGATGAGACACTCTATAGTTCTACTTCCAAAAAATCATCATAATTAATAATAATAATAATAGCAATAATAACAGCAACTAACACAGAATTTATGATGTGACAGGCCCTGATGTGAGGCTTTACATACACAAATTAACTAATCCACTAAAAGTGATGACCCACTTCTGTCATCTGAACAAAGCTATTCAGAGACTCACAGCAGGACAGCAATCTCCCTCACACATTTGATGGCAGTGACAGTGACGTTAACCATTTGGACTTAACCATGTTCCCTGGATTGTGCTCTTCTCTCATTTCCACGAATGTATATTAAATAAAACCGGGAGGACATGATGAGTGATAATAAATGCTTTTTAAGGAATTAATAGCCAGTTCATTCTGACTGCTATAAATCATTACTAGAACTAATCAGTTTACCCCCAAAATGTCACCGTCATATTCTGAAGGAAGCTCAGCTGTACCCCCCCCCCCCCCGCCCCTTTTCCCTCTTAGAACTTGCTGCTTCACCTCCATGTAGTGGGCTTGTTTTTCTCTTAATCTAACCCAGCAGGCTGCTCTGCCTTGAATCACCTCCACCTATCACTGCTGATCTGTGCAGAGTATTTACAACCGATCCTGGCTGTAGATAAAGCAGGTTTTCTTAGTGACCATCGATCTTCAAAATTCAAATTACCTCTACCCACTGTCACATGACCTAATCAAGGTAAGCTAGATGCTGCTTTTCTTTTTCTGGAAATTCCCCTGGGCCCTTTCCACTTCTAAAATTCTCTGACTCTAACATCTCTGTGGGTCCTAACATGATGTGGGTTAAGCCCGATGTGGGGAAAAAGAAAGTCTAGGCTGCAGGGCAGGAAGAGTTAATACTGCCACGCTCTTTCCCTGCCTCAGATGGAAGAAGGAGGGGGCGGCTCCTGGCAGCAGCCGTGCCAACTGGAGGATGGCATGCAAGATCAACAAATGGGGATGGCAGATTGTGCCGTTCACAGCACCCAACTTCCAGAAACTGCTGTGCTCGCTGCTTCTGTCCTCTTCCTCAGGGTTGGCTAAGGAATCTTTTCTTTTCACCTTTTCAAATGTTCTCCTCGAATCTAGGGAGCAGGGAATAGGCCAAAATAGACTCAGTCTCACGACAGGTTGGCAGAGCTAGTGTTCCCTTGCTCCCATACCAGGGCTTGCCTTGGCTAACCTGCAATCCTGAAGCAGCAGGCTGAGCAAGAGGGCTCTGCACAGCCTGTACCCCGCCAGGAGCACGAGTGGCCTCAGCTCCACTCCAGAAGTTTCTCCCACTGAACTGAGTCTGCCCTGAGCAGTACTATGGAGAGATTATGTGTTGCTCAGCAGCCCAATCCACCTCAAATCTATAAAGTATCACTTAATTAAATAGCCTGCAAAGATTTGTAGAAATTAAACTAAGGCCCCAATCATTGATTTGTAATTCCTCTGTGTACAGTCTTCCATTCCTTTATTCTTACGCAATATCTGAGAACCATCCATAAATCAACACTCCTCTTTTATTACATTTTTATTAAATTTAACACAAAGCTGCATTTTCACACCATAACTATGTGGTTTTGAAACAGCACACTGAAGATGAATCAGGAGAGAGAATGTTTTTTTTCCCTAAAGAAGGCAGTCTAGTATAACCAGTTCACATTGACTTTCTAATTTTGCTTAAAATGGAATCAGCCCAGCAACTGCTACAGCCAACCAGAGCTTCGACACATGGGTCCACCTACTGTAGGAGGCCTGGCCTCCACTGAGCATTCCAGTTATAGCCCAGGATCTTTCCCTAGTTCAGCTTATGTTGTGCCCTAATGAGCAAGCATGTTACTTGGACTAAAGGGGCCCTCTAAGCCTGTAGATAAAATTACTTTAACTGGAACAAAATAAGGAGCAGGACTGTGCTGAACAGAATGGCCTATGTCCAGTTCCAATGACAGCCCTTTGTTTTATTTCATTTTATTTTGAGGCAGGGTTTCACTAAGTTGCTGAGGCTGGCCTTGAACTTTCTATCCTCCTGCCTCAGCCTCTCAGTAGCTCGGTTACAGGCATCAACCACTGTGCCTGTCCAAAACATCACTTCTTTTTTTTTTTTTTTTAATATTTATTTACTTTTTAGTTGTGGTTGGACACAATATCTTTATTTTATTTATTTATTTTTATATGGTGCTGAGGATCGAACCCAGGGCCTCACACATGCTAAGCAAGTGCTCTACCGCTGAGCCACAACCCCAGCCCCCAAAACACCACTTCTTGAAGTACAACTATTACATCATCCCCCTGCCCAGCATCTAATGCTCCATCTGACCTAGTGAGACCACTTCTGCATTACCTCACTTTGCTCCCCAAAGTGAACACAGTCCTCCCCAATTCCCACACCCTTCCTACAGTACCTTAAAATAGATCATGTGCATAATATTGGTCATGGGAAAGGACCAACATCAAGCTGTCACAGAAAGGATAAACTATGTTCAGCAGACTCCACTTATTTAGGCGAGGACTATTTCTACTGAGCAAAGGAAAACATTTTTAAAAGATTTTCAAGAATAGGTTAAAACTGAAGGGAGTACAAATGACCTTAAACTCTGTATTCTCTCTAAACCAGAAAATTAAATTACTTAAATGCCCTCTTAAACTTTGGTTGGAAACTTCTCGCACCTGAGGGTTTGAATCAAGATTTGCAATTTGCATCATTTAATCCAACTTCCCTACCCTTAAACAAATGGTACTTGAGCTTATAGGTGGCTTGAAGAATAGAAAAAAGGTTACCAAATTGTAAGACAGATTGTGCACTGCTCTAAAAAAATGCTAATTAATCCCAGGGCATGGAAGGCAGGTTAACAGTTTGCCTGAGTGTTTAACTATATAAAATGGAAGAATCTGAGATGTTGGAGGCTCAAACCCTACAATCTTAATAGAAAATAATTTAAAACAACAAGAGATAATACTTGATTTCTCCATCCATCTACTCATTCCCCCACTACATGCCTCTAAATGTGGCTATCATTCAGAAGTATCAGGGCAATGCTAGAATTTCACTGTGTTCGGTTCTTTTTTAAGCCAGCAGACATAAATCAGGTATTTGATTCCATGCTGAGTGGGGGAAGAGCCAGTTCCACAAGGGCAAAACAGCAGGACTGGAAAAAATGAACAAGCTCAGGGCTTATTGTGCCGCCTGCCCCGTCAGGGGTGCAGGCCAAGGCCAAGGCTGAAAAAAGGAGCAGCTCAGCCAAGTGCTCTGGGCACCCACTGGGAATGTGCCTGCAGCGGGGCTGGGAAGACAGCCACAGGGCACCTCCTGCCAGGGAGGAGGCAGAGGGCCTGTGGAGCCAAGTTGCCATTCAAAGGCGCCAGGGGAAGGGGTGGAGGAGTCTTCAGAACCAATCCTCTGTGGCCCCAAAGAGAATGGAGGCAAAAGAGAGGTCACTGGTTATCTCTGGGCTGCCAATGGGATGGGATTGCGTTAGAAATAAGGAGCTACAAAAGTGGGGGAGGTTTTGCCTTCAGCCCACACTGTCCAGACATTCCAGGTCTCATTTCTGACACCACAATGCCTAAGAATTGCAAATCACTGTCCACTGCACAGCAGTGGCTGCAAACAACCACTTACCCTAAAAGAAGTCTGACTTCTTGCACAAGCAAGGATGAGCCTGGCAACTCCCAGACAGTGTTTGTAAAGACTCTGACAATGACTACCCAGCATCTGGAAGTTCTGTTTTTTTAAAAACCAAGGAACTCATCATATCTACAAGTGCAGAATGTTAAATAGACAGTGGATTGATAGACACAAGTCATGAGAATGCAGATAAAGGTTGTTCTCCTTGGACAGTGAGTGACCTTTGCAAAATATTGCATCTTGTCTGATTTGAGGCATTTTACCAGATCTCTTGCCCTGTAGATATTTACAGAAGAAATGGGGGAAAATCCCTTCATGTTCTTCCAAAAAACAAACCCACATGTATTTTGCTGAGCTGCTAAATGTAGCAACACTGACGTCAGAGGCACCTCCTAAGGCAGGCTCTGCTTCACAAAGCTGAGAGCAGCCCTGCTTCTTCCTTCGTTATTAAGCCCATCTGTTTGCACATTTGGTTTGTACCAAATGTAGTTTACACCATAAAGCAGACAATATGTGCATATTTCTTAAACGAGATTTGTCATTTAATTGAATTTTGGTCAGCATTTTTACCTAACTCTAAAGTTTAGCTTTCAAACTGCATCAAGCTGACTAAAATGCTGTTTTTGTGTCTATGGGAACTGGAGTTATTAGTTGGGTCATGGATCTTGGACAAATTAACTGCATAGATATGAGCCAACAAAGTTTCCCCTGTCGTCCCTGTGGAAGTCTGTCATGAGAGCTGGGAGGAGTGGATTCCTTTTCATTGAGACAGTTGATGAAGCAGAACTCCCTGGCTATATAACACAACCATCTCATGCAGACTGAGGCCCGTTCACAGAGGGCTACTATGGTGGTAAAATCTGGACTAATGGACCAATCACTCTCAAATTTATCTGTTGCAAACTTAACAAAGTTTAGATATGGGTATTTACTGAACTCTCAAACAGGACATCTGCAGGAACACTTGGTGATTATTTTAATAAAAAATCTTGGTGGCTTTTTCACAAAACAAATGAACCAACAACTCTAGCTTATGTAGCTAACTGCAGTCAATGTATCTCTTGGGTAGGCAGTTCTGAGGGTCTGAGGGTCCTGTTCTCATCTGTCCTGAATGGTCTACTTTGACCCTATGCCTGAGGCTTTATCCACACAATGGCCACCTTGTCAAACTAGCTTTGGTCCCAGGACAACTTGTTTCGACACAAGTCTGGCAGAGCACGCTTAGGGAAGAGTCTTATGTACCATCCTGTTTTCTCTAAGAAACTGTCCCTCAGCTGTTGTTGTAAGAGGTAAAAGGCAAATGGGTGTCACCACTTCCAGGGGACGCTGACTTACATCAGTGCCTGGCGGCTCTTGCCAATTTGGTTTCTACTGTCAGGAAGGTCTGCTGTCAGCCAAGCACCAGTAGAGAAAGACTGACCCTTTGTGGCTGATTTGATTAATCACTTTAAAATCTCTTGCATTTTGGGGGGCAACTCGATGCTGTCAATATTGGAGAAAAGCATTTTAAGGAAACACCTTAAAAATGTATAGGTTCCCAAACCTTGCTCATCAGAATTCCTTGCTGGAGTCTCTCAAAATTAGTTTCTTGGGTCCCACCCCAGGACTGAATCAGACTCGCCCAGGGTGGGGCCTGGGAACCTGTATTTTTAAAGCTCTTCTGGTGACCCTGATGATAAGGAAGGTTTGGAGCCACTGATTTAAGACAGGAAAGAACTCACCACAGTCTGTTTCTATAAAACTGCTTTTTAAAAAATAATAAATCTATGTTTCTCGTAAATAATTTTCACAACACAGATGTGTAGAAAACAAAAGTGAAACCTGCCTACCCCACCTTATTATCGATGGACTTTATAAAAGACAGATGAAGTATATTCATAAAGACCTGTTCTTGTATACAGAAATCAGACTTGACCTTGACAAGAGATAAAGATAAAGAATAGTTGAAAATTAAAAATGATGGAATTTTTTTTTTTTACTTTTGATAATGGTTTCTCACATAATTTCCATCCTCCTCCTTTAAAACAGAAAACAACAACAGACAAGGAGGGTGTATTTTACTTGTCCCAATAGCAGTTGGCCCTGGTACTACCTGGATTACTAGCAGGATTTCCCCTGGATGGGCTGTGGAAGCCCTAGTCACAGCTTCCTGTGGAGCTCATCAGCCTGATGAGATCACATTCAGAGGTGTGAGTGACATTTAGGACACTTATCAATATATAGGTCTTTCTTTCTCCCTTCCTTCCTCTGTTTCTTCCTTCTTTCTTTCCTTCTTTTTCTTTCTTCCTTTCTATTTCTGTTTCTATGTTCTTTAAAAACACAGCCATAAGAGTGATATAATTTTGAAATGAGTCTTAGTGACAAGCAGGGCTCTGTGAGGAAGAGCCAGGTTCTGTTTGACAGCAGGGGTATGAAGCAAGCATGAGGACTAACAATGGACACCCAGAAGGACGATCATTCTTCTAAAACAGTAGCCAATGATATCTATTTGTGGAGAATTCACACAGAAAATGAAATAAATCCAGGGAACCGGTCCGACACAGAGAATGCAGATACAGAACAATGTACAAGAAATGGAATAAAAGATTGGTGATTTTTCATGTTCCATGAAACATGGGAATTCAGAGAATGTCTTCATTTGTACTTGAATTTTCCCTAATGTTTCTTATTGTTGAATAGATTTTGATTTAGCATACTTATTTTAGGATTGTAACTATATAGACAATTTCATTTTCACAACCACATTATATTTAAGTATCTAGTAATACTTTTATAAAGAAATTCATTCAATTACATGACTTTAAATTTAATTTTACTAT